AAGACACTAATGCAGTCAGTTGACACTTTTGTAATACTGCTTTTATCATCAATTTCCATTTCCTAACTTATGTATGCATGATTTTCACCATATCGATTTTCCACTTAGAATCTATTTTGCCATTATGGTTTCGCTTCAAACAACTTTGCGTTTAAAATACTCCATTCTGTGTGCCACTTGAAGCTGCACCCTCCGTTAATAGTATGCTCCCGGCGTCACTGCAAGCTGCTCAAACAGGGGCTGGGTGTCAAAGAAATGAACATAACAGAACATATGCCAGTTATTTCTTTAGCGTGATCAAGAATGCATTCTGTGGTAGCCCAGTCTCCTTTCTAGCAGAAGTAACATGTCCCCAGCCTCTCTGTGTTTCCCAACTGCTGGCTACTGTACAACTGGTCACTATGCTCACCCACTGGCTATCGCTGATCGGGTAGTCCGTCAGCGACACGGTGTAGTATTCCTTCTTGGTGCAGACGGCAACGACAAGGACTCCGTCATGGGTGAAGAAGGCTTCAAACCCTGCACCGTTCCCAGTGAAGAAACTGAAAGGGAGGAAGGGTGAAGTAAAGCAAAGAATACTTAGGTTGATGATGTTGGTCAGAAATTCAAGGCCTACACTAAAGTACCATTGCAGTAGAAATCAAGAAATGTCAAGGAAATGCAAAAATCAAGGAATTGCAAAAACCGAAAAAACACATTTCTCTCACGTGGGAATTTCTTGAAGGAAACCTGTGAGGAATGCACAATTTTATGTAACCAATGGTAAGAGAAATCTTTTATATTGTGTCTTGGGTTGAGGCATGGACAGACCACACAACCAACAAGGAGCTCAGAGAAAGGACACAACAGCTTCAGGCCCCACGCACCCGCTGGCCAGACATAGTGGCCAAAGACCTAAGCAAATGGAATGTCACACTGGATCAGGCCAAACAACAAGCCCAGAACTGGCCGAGATGGAGAGCTGTAACTAGACTGGCTGGCTCGACGCCTACAGCGCAAGAGAATTGATGATAATGTGATGATGTGATGATAATGATGGTGACTATCAATATACTGCAAAAGACGAAGTCATCAAATTTGATCCTACATGTCTTGGAAGCTAACGCACATCAATCATACTGCATCACACTTTTTAATTTTGTTACCTGTACAACTGTCTACGGTAAAAGCCGCCTCGCTCTATGGCCGCCGTGGTGACTGGTGTGTTGTTGAGACAAAGCCAGGTGTGGAATGTGAAGCCGTGGCCAGGCCACTTACGGATCACTGGAATGCTGATGCCCTGTATGTCACAGAAAAATGGTGTTCATACCATACCTCTCTAAAAAATTTCTTTCTTCTTAAACTAAGACACCAAAATAAAATCAATTCAGAATTCTACTTATTTTAGATTTGAGACGTGCAAAACACAAGGTTCTATGCTCAAAATGTTGTCACTTGTAAGACATGTTTTTCTGGGATGTTTACAGTACAACCATGATTCAGCTAAATCTTGGAGTATTCTATGACACATAAACACACATATCATTAAATTCAAATCTCAATTCTTATCCCACAATTTTCATCTACAGTTTGTCCTGAAATATCAAGGACTTTCAAATGTAATAGTTCAAACTCTATACTCTGACTAACCTCATTCGCATGTATGAAGCTGTGTCACAAAATCTTACAAATACATGTGCGTATCTTATTTTAAAGAACATCACTCACACGTATACAAAAAAATCAGACTACTTTTAGCATTTGTGAACAACACATAAATTTTTGAGCAAACAAATCAAGGACAATTCTTTCAGTCAGGCAGGGTCAGACTTACGGACAGATTTTCTTGCAGGTCAAAGTAATGATGAGCCCCCTTCTTGCCCTCCTTGCGTGCCATGACGGACAGGGCGTGCATCAGGCGCAGGCACTGCGGAGACAGGGACTGATCATCGGTACCCCTCATCAGACCGATCAGACGCTTGAGCTGTGTGGAACTGATGCTGTAGGAACCCAGGGCCTCCGTCAACACAATTAACCTCTCTGAAAAAAGGGAGAAAATACAAATAAAAGAAACCAGACAAACCGAGAGTATAATCCAATATTAAAATTATTATTACACATGACTGTTTTGTTGTTATTATCATACAATGTAGAAGAGGATCTGCCTCGACCAGAAGCACCCCCTCATCGGTTGACAGGAGCCATGTTGGTCTGGAGTGTTCATTTTGTTGGTAGCCATGCGATCGTAATGCATGCATTTCATAGTCGTTTATGAACCAACAGTTTAGTTCCAACGAAAGGAGCCTCCGTTGCTTAGAAAATTGCACTCTTCCTTGGTCCAGCTCAAAGCTCATAAGGTAGCAGACAAAAGGTGCGTAAGAAAAGTTCTCAGTAGCTATCCTTTCAAAACTTAAAAAAGGACAATCATGCCTTGATCAATGGCTGCTTTTGTAATCTTATTATGGCAGCTTCACTACAATAAATGTATTGTAAGTGGAGGTGAAATATCGTGTGAAGTTTTGAGAAACCGGAAGCAGGTGTGCTGATGCTATCTCTCCCACCTTGTGTTTTCCTATGTAGGCTCTCCCTGGCTTCCAGCGCATCCAGGACGGTGGACAGTATGCCGTCGTTGCAGCACTGCATCCTGTTGTAGTCGCTCTGGCTGCAGCAGGAGGCCAGGCTGTGGGACAATGAGATCTGCAGCTCCTCCGACTTGATGAGGGGCAGGAGGCGCATCAGGATGTGGGTCGCCCCCGTGTTGTGCAGGACGTGTTTGACTTCGGCCTTGAAGGTCGTGTCAACCATCTGCGCACACGGCCAATTCACAAACAGGATGGTGATGTTCATGACAGTAAGATTAAATTCAACATTTAAAGTGTTTCACTCACCACATGCCGCAAATACCAATGCAACGGACACCTACAATCTTTACAAAAAGTGCCTTTTATATCAAACTGACTCTATCAACCCTAACCCCCTAGACTCCTGCACTAGAAAGCACACTGAACCTCAAAAATCCAACAGGTGCATGTACTTGTCTATGTACTTGTACATGCAAGTCACTGTACCAAACCTGATAAACTCCAACAGAATGAGCCCTTGGAGTTTGAGTGATATGGATGGGTCTATGCAGTATAGGATGACATGCACTGAACAGTACCAAGCCTGACAAAATCAAGCATAGTCCAACAATTGGTACAGCAAGCCAGACACTGCACACAATGAACCCTGTGTGTCCCAACTCAAACAGAATCCAACACCATCTCCCTGGGCCTTACATCCCAAGTCTCACAAAATTCAAAAAGTTCATCAGGTACGGTACCAAACCTACCAAACCCTACAAAATCCAAAAGAAAAAGATAAGCCAACCATTTCTGCAGCTTATTTTCTACATCAAGTCATAATGTACTCTCTGCCTTATCACTCAAAATCTTCAAACAAATTTCACCACTTGTTAACACTTGCACCAAGTTTATTCAGAATTCCCCCATTTATTGTGAAATGAAAAGCAGCACAAGTTAATGAGGCATGCATGTATTTTTCTAAGATGTTGACATCAAAAAAGGTTTTGGGTCAGCTGTGACGCAAACAGAGATGAAGATCAATGGAAGTGACAACAGTGAAGACGACTTCCTATTTTTGAAAAAAATAACATAGGAGTGTGGGCATACTTCGAGGGGTAAAGCTACAAAATGGTCTTCACAAGATATTCACCATGTCTAGCAGAGCACCGATGAGTTGCTGGGAGGGCTGGCCCAGTGATATGATCAGCTGGCCAAGCCTGTGGTAGCCAATGGTCTCTCTGAAGGAGGTCTTGGCTAACGGGCAGTCAGCCATGACGACCGCCATGATGTGAAGACAGAAGAAGCCCGTCAGCTGTCTCCTGCTACCACTCAGCTGGTGGACATTGGATGTAAAATAACAGTAATCATCTCGTGCAGCGATACATTATATATGTACGACCTAGTCGATGAGGGCGCTACATGTACAGAAGACCAAACCCAGCACCAAGTTGAGTCTGGACACCAAAACATAGCCAAAAGAAAAAAGGTGGGTTTCCAACCATATACATGTACACTGATATACTAAAACAGGGCATCAGGGTTGAGGTGTCAGATCTAGACTACTGAAATGTGAGGTCATTTGGAACCAGAAAGTGTGGTGCAACAAGTATTGCTACTTTTAAGTATTTTTTTTTACCAATTTCCATTGTAATACAGTCCAAGTATGCGCACAATAGCAACAGAGGAGGGTCCTACAGACACTATAGATTTCTTTTAAGGAGCTTTTTTTTTAGAAACTCAGGATGGATGGTAACGATTTACAGCTACTTTACATTTGCCGGAGTTGAAATGTACATGTACATTATATTCATCATTTACAAGTTCACAGCATTAATATTCACTGCTGTGATGTCATGACCACGACACTGAATTTATAAGGCATGTCAGAAAGTACTCACAATGGCCTTCTCAATGATGCTGATGAGAATGCCAAAGACATCGACAGATACAAAAGCCTCTTGGAGGGCCAACTTCCGTCGGCCGTGAAGAACCTGGGGTATGCTGCCTGTAAAGCAACAAAACATCATTATTACTGGGCCTTTAAAATCAAGGACAGGTTCCTGGCACAAGAGCTACTACTACTACTTGAGCAGAAGCTCCAACTCGTCAGCTGCAAAGAGCCATATTGGCAGGGAGTGTTTATTTTGTTGTTGACAATGCGACCGCAACGTTTACATTTCATACTGGTTCATGAACCAGCAATTTGCACTTCCCACCAAAGAAGCCTAGGTTGCTTGGAAAATTGTGCCCTCTCTAGGTCCAGAGCGTGGCCCAAGAGAACACATTTTTAACAGTCTTGTAGTCAAGTCCATCACAAATCCCGGCAAAAAGCCTATCGCAAGCCCTCAAGTCTTCATGCAAGTCACAAGCTTTTCAAGTGAACTGAGACAAAAGTATTCCTTCATCACAGTTGATCATATTACTTATGACAAGTCTTGCAAAAGGACTTGTGAAGGAACTTGTAATGGACTCGACTACCACAGGCTTCAATGCTACCTTGCCACTACAAACCATTGCAACAACTCTTCCATCAAATTCAGTCAACATAATCAACTAGAAAGTGATGTCAGATTCCATAATAAGTAATCTAGATAATTAGGTACCTTCTTTATAAACAAGCTAAATTACATGGGAGCACATTTAAAGTCCGAGAACTATTAAAAGAACCTTCTAATAAGAAATTTGCTCATGCCAACCACGAACACTTCTTAGGACAATGCACACTGGTCTAAGTCTGCATGCACTAACTCCGGAAGAGTGTGTGTGTTCATCATAGCTATTAAGGCAAATTCCCACAGGGAATTAAAATTGTTTCATCGAGGAGCATTCCCACAAGAACAGGAACATTCTGACTTTTGTGACATTCCCAGAAGCTGGTAATCTGTTTGACAAGCCTTTCAACTATTGCAAGATCACACTCACGGAATATTGCCAGTTGGAGTTGCTGGGGCACATTATCACTGGAGAGTTTCTGTAACACTTGCTGGATGATCTCTGAAAGTTCCACTTGCCTCTTCAAGTGACAAATCCAACATTAATCACAGTTACAGCATAGATTATCTACAGGGAAAGTGTCAGTCATTTACTAGGCAATGCTAGACCTGGTTGACTTACATACAGGATGTTTTTGATTGAAAAAAAAATTAAACTCTTTACAAATCTATTTAGGATGTCATATTCCCACCTATCTAGGACGTCAATATTGATCCAGACAAATTAATTTCTGGTTTGTTTTTCAATACTGTTTGTTCGTTTTTAAAACCATAAATATCCATTCTGGTTTGCATATGGAATTTCAATGATTTCACAGCAATGTTTACAAGCACTGGTAGGTGCAACTACATGTGAGTGGCTGCACGGGCAGTAATGTGCTTAGTGTATAGTACGTTTGGTGTGCATGCAAATGCTAAATGCCGTCTAGGTCATAAAATTAGCTCAACATGAAGATAGATTCTCGCGGCTACTAACTTGTTCTGGAGGGCATCCATGGGTGGCGAGCACCATGAGAACAATGCATCTTAATGCCAGTTCCTGCACCAGCTGCAGGTTACCCGCTGGAGCCACGCTGAAGTCGCTGCTGGGTACCGGCGTGTCCAGCAAGGCAAAGAGAACATCTACTGTGGCTGGGGATATTGCTACTTGGGCATTTTCCTGGGTTACAAAAATTTCCCAAGGTTGACATTCACCTACATTGTGTATCAAAAGCTTTACAATGGAAGTATAAATAAATACCGAGGAGGAAATTAAATTTGGTACAACCAATAAAATGTAGCATTTTATAAATCACATCACCACATAATACTTCTCATTCACGAGTGAACTGCAAAGCCTACTCAATCGAAAAGGTGTTTTGTGATGGTTTATCTTGTTACTTACAAATGGACGTCTGATTTGACCTGTAATGTTAAGTCAGTTTTGAGGCACTCAAAGTTCGACTTTTCGGCACAGCATATGAACAAAATGGGATTTCAAAATTGCTACTGATGCTCGATCAGGTGCAAAATTATACTGCACTCCCAATTTTAAGAGGTCGGGAAAAAAATGGGTAGATCAAACATTAAGGGGCAAGTAAAATGTACAGAGAACTCTTGAGGACTACTCTGGAAAATACTGCCACTGAAGGTGTCAGTAACAAAAATGTAGTAACACAAAAACTGTGGAAACAAGCAACATACCTGTGACCCTGCTAATACAGCACCAAACATGTGAATGACTCTAACATGGACATCGATGGACTGCAAGAGTCGCCATGTGTTCTCTTGCAAACAGTCTGTAATGACAAGCCAAGAGTTAACCTGAGAGACTGTGAGAATTTTTACAAACAAAAGTATTTGACTTTGTGACGGGGTGGAATAGGAAATGTGGAGTTTCAAATTTCTCTGTCTTCAACATGATCAATGTAAAAAATTATGACTGATGATACAGCTGGTTTTGGAATGTGAATGCTACCTCTAGCACTTTCTGAATGCCGAAAAACCACCAGAGGGTCTTGAGGATTTTGCTGAAGTGATCAATTCTGATTTTACTTGAGCAGTTTAAGGACAAAAAATGTGTCATAAGGTTCATGTGAAGTGGTTGGCATTGAAGGCTTTTGGAAGATTCCAAACAAAACACTCACAGAGTTAGTGCTTACTAAAATCATGTTCATAAATGCCTATTTAAACACGGGGAACAGCCATTCCTCCTGGTAGACTGCATGTCACTTGACCACGCACGTGCCAATCTCCATATAAGGAGATTGTTTAAGACTACTCATAAGAGAAACCTAAAATTGTATGGCTGGAGGCATGTTTGAAAAACGTGCTGTAAAGCTATCGAACAGAATAATGGTAAAGTTATCATTTTTAAAAATTTGTTTTGACTTTGTTACTCAAAAGACAAGAAAGATATTTTATGAACGGAATAAGAACCTTCAAGACTGGCTCTGGCTCAGAAGAATGGGCACTAATAATATCCCTCACCTTAGGCTCAAGCATCATTAGGGTCCACTCTCCTGATTCGGTCTTAAACAACAACTGGCCCAGCACATACCGGTATTTATTCCCTTAACCACTCCCTGCAGGGGATTCCGGATCCGGACACGTATGCTTTATATGCGTGGCCAGGGTCTCCGAACTCGGACAAAGGGAACAGGGCATTGTAACAAAAGACCGCAACAAAAAACCCGGCTGCTGGGAATTACAGACATTTTTTCACTCTTAAAAGTGGAGATAATCCAGCCTTGTTTTGAAACAGTATACCACGGTTTGGGCCATTTAGAGCGAGCAGATAACCACCGGAGACAAAAGCGCTCCACCACCGCAGCGATGAGCCACACAGCACCACTGCATGCTAATCGGGCCCCTATTAAAAAGAGGTCACTAGCACACTGAGCCATATAAGATATGGGATGGAGGGGTACCCCCCATCCAATCCCAATACACACTCTAGACTAATGTTACCTAA